TCAGCGGCTTTGCCTGCCATCCTCTCCACACCTCGCGCAGGGACTGCCCGAGCACACGGCCGTGGGAGCGGCTCGCTAAGGAGGGCACAACACTCCCTGTGTTCTGTGGGAAGAATTTCACGCAAATAAAAGCCAAAACTCTGCTTTCTGAGAAGTGCTGAGTCAAGGACTGAAGCCACGGATGCACACTGTTTTTTTTTTCTGGAGCTGGGGGGGAAGAAGTAAAGCTGTGATTAAGAAGTAAAGACGTGATTATTTGTAGTAAGTTTGCATTAAGTCACAAGCAAACAACGTGACAATGCTAATCGGCTATAAGCAGATTTGCTTTTCCTTGCTTCTTGGGAAAATAACTTCTAGTCTGCTCCCACAGATGCCTGCACGCTTGAGAAGCTTCCCGCGCACAAACAGCAGTGAAGATGTTTATACAACTCTAATTGCTAATGCACTCAGCTGGCTTTCTGGAAAGGGCCAAAACATGCGTCCACTGGGAACTGGCGGGCAATTTACTGATAGCTCAACTACGAGCCTTGCTCTAAGCACACGGGCTGACACGCATTTGTCAGATGGGAGGCTGTGAACACCCTGGGAGCACAACTCTTCCAACACTTCTCAAAGCAGTTTGGAAAGGCTTCGTATACCAATTCCTGGATCAGCTCGTACTGCTGCAACTACTGCTGTTCCTCTCCTTTCCAAATCTTCACTTCAAATAAAGGGATTGTTGCAACTCTCCGGCATGGACAGCTCTGCCCAGCCTTGCTATCAATCCCTTCTTGCTCTTCTCTGTGATCTGTCATCAGCAACAATTTCTTCTGGGATATTTAAGGAACATCACTTAGAGGCAACGCAGGCGGATTACCAGGGTCGTCAGTGGTGTGTGTCCCGCTTCTGTCTGTGCATTTCTCACAGATTGAATGTTCCTCTGGCAAAATGCTTTCCTGCCACTTCTTACCTGCTTTCAGAGATGCCTTTTTTGACCAGCTTGAGACCGTAAATCAGCTAGGAAAGGCTACTCCTCCTGATATACTTGAAGGGTTAAGCGCAGTCAGGCTGCATTTTTGGTAGATAGTGTAGGATTGAAAATAATGCCACTCAGTTCTTACTGCTGACATATGTAACCAATTACTCTAGTACAGCTCTCAAAGAAAGTGGCTCAATTAATTATTTTGCAATTAATCCCGTGGACTTGCACACTGGGAAAACCTGTGTACTTCATCAGGGACATTAATATGAACTGAACCCTTCACTGACAATATTGAGTACTCTACAATTTTGAAAAGATTTGTGTTTCTGACTAATGGTTTGCAAATATCCAGTCTGCAACTGTTCAGCAGAGTGTGAGTCTGTTATGCAAAGTAGGATTGGAACAACATTGTCACATGACTTTATACTTATTTTGTGGGTTTAATACATATAAAAATAACATTATGCATTTTTTAAATTTTCATAAATTAATTAGTGATAATAAATTTAATAATTTTATCTATTTCACCTAAAGTTCTATTTATATAATATATTAAAAAAAATGTATTGGCAAGAGGTGTCCAGGTTGACCATAAGAATGTCAGACTGAGTTTGGGACCTGAGGTTCTCTACCAGAACTAGGAGCAATAGGGATTTGGTGGCTAAACGGGGCTCCAAACCCAGGCTACCTCGAATTCCTTCAGGGTGCCAATGGCAGTCTGGCCACAGCAAGGGGAGTTCGGTGCTGAACCAGGCTCCCTTGCTTGCTGAGGAGCAGAACAGATGTGCCTGCAGCAGGTCCTGTGCTGCCGAACAGCTGCCGGTCCCCGCACTGGGACACGTCCTCTAGGCTGAGCTGCCCGCACCGCACGCTGGCGGCACCGGTCCCGCTCCAGCCAGCGCAGGCATCCCCGGCGTCGCCCTCCTCTGAAATCTGCCGGCGGGAGGGAGGTACTGGTTTACACATTCAAACAGGACGGCTGTAAAAAAACAGTTGCTCTTCCCTGTCACAGGTTTGCTCTTTACAAGCTGCCGAAACACGCCAAAGGAGAGCTTGCCCTGCTGGGGCTGGAATACCTGTACCTGGACGCCCTGGCTCCGGAGTGGCAGCTGGGGAAATACCTCGTCAACATGACACAGGGCGCACTGGGACAAACGCTCGAGCAGCTCTACGAGACTTACGAAGCTGAGGCAAGTGACATTTCATTATCGTTTTGTTAGTACACTTAGTTGATATTACATGCAAATGAATCAAACCGCCAAAATAATCATGTAGAGGTACGGCCGGACCTGACCAACTAATTTACTGAGACACATCACGGGGAGCACCCTGACAGCTGGGCAGATCATTCGCAGTTTTGGCTACAATTAGAAATTATCCTTGAACTTCTAATTTCTAATCAAGCCTTTCACACACTTAAAGTATTGCCCATCAGAAAAATGAGTGCTGGTACACGATCCCTTTGGTTCTTCTCTGCAATTCATGTTGAGCAACACCCGAAACTGTGAACTGGCTGTGAACTCAGACCATGGTGACTACTACAGACACTCGCCCTCAGCCCTCTCATGTGCGTGTGTTTCACCCTCCGTCTCAAATCAAACCTGGGTTTTGCTCTTCCCCCTGAAATCACCGTAACTGCTTCAGCAGTGACACACTGCTTGTTATGCCTTTTTTCTTTTTGCTCACAGTCAGGCACCTCATTTATATTTGTGTGAAGCAATTATAAAGTACCACAAGATCTGCCTATAGTTATTTTTTTACCATCTACATAGTATTCTTGGGTGTCTGGGTGTGTCTTTGCATTTCTGCTGCGGGTTAGTGGTAGAGTGTCATCAATTTAGATGAAGAAGAGACTCCCAGAAGTCAGTCAAATACTGGCAACTCGGTCAACTGTCCTATTCCAGGTCTCGCTGTGCTTGTAATAAACTGTTTACAAACTTCAGGGACATTGGAGGGGAAACATGTCCCAACTTCTTTGAAGGGAAATAAGGTGCAGCCATATGCAAATATTTTGCAAAGAAAGCATTAATTGCTTTGTCCTTCATAAGAAGACTTGTCATGTCTATTTTTCCTCAGCGAACATTTTCACTGGATCTGGCGGCTAAATCAGAGACAGGCAAAAAAAAAAAGAGGGGGGAACTTCTTTGCAAGTAAGAGCCCAATAAACCCATGTAAATTGTCTTAGTGAGCATATTCAACCTCTTGAGGAATGGCTACTGCAATGATTGATAGAACTTCCACTTCATTTTAACCGGGCGCCTAATACTGAGTCTTCAGGTTTATTTTACTGTAACTTCTGCGGAGACTGTGTCAGCTGAACTGGGAGAAGGACAGGCTCATGATGTTGACATAGAGAAGTCCTGAATTCTTGCTTCTGTTCCCAGCAGATGTTTGCTTAAATGCCTGCATTTTACTGAATGTCATGTTTCAGAAATGTGTGTTTTCCTGCAGAAGAACAGCATTGCATATGCGATATACAACGATGAGGTCCCTGAATCAGACTCTGACGGGTGGAAAAGAGGACATACCAAAGGTACGTCCTTTGGTCCCAAGGAGTCCCAAAGAGTCCCAAGCTACTATTTTCTCCTTTCTAAAGTTTTGGATAGCATCTACTTGTCTGTTTATCTCTTTGCGTATCCAAAATTCCTGCCTAAACCAAAACTGGAGAAGGATTTGAATGATGCGTGGTTTGTTGTATAGTCATCTATGCTGCAGCTTCTGTTTCGGTTTTGCTGTGCCTGTGCTGTGTTGAAGAACTCTTAGGGCTTATGGACCCTCTGTTCTCAAGAGCTGAAACTTGTACAGCTCCTTTCAGCAAGTACAGACCATGTCGTCCTGAACCTAATGGCAACAGCAGTACAAGATGCAAAGGGAAAGGCATCCTAAACATAAACCCCTCCAAACTCTTTCTCTCTAGACCAAGAATCACAGAATCACAGAATGGTAGGGCTTGGAAGGGACCTGTGTGAGTCACCTAGTCCAAACCCCCTGCTGAAACAGGGTCACCTACAGCAGGTTGAGCAGGACCTTGTCCAGGCGGGTTTTGAATATCACCAGAGAAAGGGACTCCACAACCTCCCTGGGCAGCCTGTTCCAGTGCTCCATCACCCTCAGAGGGAAGAAGTTCTTCCTCATGTTCAGGTGGAACTTCCTGTGCTTCAGTTTGTGCCCGTTGCCCCTTGTCCTGTTGCTGGGCACCACTGAAAAGAGTTTGGCCCCATCCTCCTGACACCCACCCTTAAGATATTTACAAGCATTTATAAGGTCCCCTCGCAGCCTTCTCTTCTTCAGGCTGAACAAGCCCAGCTCCCCCAGCCTTTCCTCATAGGACAGATGCTCCAGTCCCCTCATCATCCTTGTAGCCCTCTGCTGGACTCTCTCCAGTAACTCCTCATATTCCTTGAGCTGGGAAGCCCAGAACTGGACATAGTACTGCAGACGGTGCCTCACTAGGGCTGAGTAGAGGGGAAGGAGAACCTCCCTCGACCTGCTGGCCACACTTCTCTTGGTGCACCCCATGATGCC